CCTGGCAAACACCGAGGCAAGCTCCTGAGGTACCGTGTAAGTGGAAGACCTGCCTGGCAAACACCGAGGCAAGCTCCTGAGGTACCGTGTAAGTGGAAGACCTGCCTGGCAAACACCGAGACCATCTCCTGAGGTGCCGTGTAAGTGGAAGACCTCCCTGGCAACCACCGAGGCAAGCTCCTGAGCCGTGGGCAACTGCTTAAATGGTATGCAATGGCATATTTTGGAAAAACGGTCAACAACCATGAGGATGCCGGTGCAGCACAGTGGCGTAGTGGTTAGCGCTTCTGCCTTGCAGCACCGGGGCTCCCCGGTTCGAATGCCGGCTAGGTCACTTAGTTTGCACGTTCTCCCTGTGCTTGCGTCGGTTTCCTCCAAAGACATGCTGGAAGGTTAATTGGCTCCTCTCTAAGTTGGCCCTCTATGTATGTGAGATAGGGACCTTAGATTGTAAGCTCCTTGAGGGTAGGGACTGATGCCAATGTGCATTATGTAAAAGTGCTGCGTAAATTGTCTGCGCTCTATAAATACCTGTAATAAAATAAACCATGAGAGGGGGGAAGGTCATGTCCATGGGAAGATAACGTCCATGGGAAGGTGGCACCAAGGACTTCCCCATTGGGAATAGGCTGTAGAAGGCCCACAGGAAGGTGCCGAGGGAATTTGCTTTAGGCACAAATGGAACGTGCGACCCCGTAAGCAGCCACCAGAACTGGCAAGAAATAGCCCAAATCATCTGATTCTCACCGGGGGGGGACCAGAAGACTCGGAGTTGTAAGTTGGCAACAGTTCAACGTGTAAATTCTGGGGTACAAAACACTCGTCGCTCGGTTTCTCGTGAGGAGCCGTAGGAGGAGCGGCCAGAATCTAGTATTGTCAGTCTTCGTAATGACCAGCAGAGGGCGCTATCCCCCAAGTCTTGTAGATTGGAGGTCTAGGTAGTTCTGGACACTTTACGCACACATCAGAACTCGGAGCAGTATATGTGGGGACATTGTGTGTGTATATATATACAGTATCTCACAGAAGTGAGTACACCCCTCGCATTGGATGATATCATGTCATGTGACGACAGAAGAAATTACACTTGGCTGCAATGTAACGTAGTGAGTGTACAGCTTGTATATCAACCTTAACCCCTGGCAGTATACACAGTGTGCAATCCGGGGGCCCCTGGCAGTATACACAGTGTGCAATCCGGGGGCCCCTGGCAGTATACACAGTGTGCAATCCGGGGGCCCCTGGCAGTATATCAGTGTACAATCCGGGGGCCCCTGGCAGTATATCAGAGTAAATTTCCTGTCCCCAACACAAAGCCATTCATGTCTATACCGCTGGCAACAAAAGTAAGTACACCCCTAAGTGAAAATGTCCAAATTGGGCCCAAAGTGTCAATGTTTTGTGTGGCCGCCATTATTTCACGGCACGGCCTTCACCCTCTTGGGCATGGAGGTCACCAGAGCGTCACAGGTTGCCACCGGAGTCCTCTTCCCCCCTCCCCCATGACGACATGACGGAGCTGGAGGATGATAGAGACCTTGCGCTCCTCCACAGATGCTCCATAGGGTTCAGGTCTGGAGACATGCTTGACCAGTCCATCATCTTCATCCCTCAGCTTCTCTAGCCAGGCAGTGGTGGTCTTGGAGGTGTGTTTGGGGTGGTTATCATGTTGGAATACTGCAATGCGGCCAAGTCTCCGGGGGGAGGGGCTCTGCTTCAGTATGTCACATGTCGGCATTCATGGTTCCCTCTGTAGCCCCCCCAGTGCCGGCAGCCCCAGACCATGACACTCCCACCACCATGCGTGACTAGGCAAGACTCACGTGTCTTTGTACTCCTCACCGGGTCGCCGCCGCACACGCGTGACACCATCTGAACCAAATGCGTTTATCTTGGTGTCATCAGACCAGAGGACGAGGTTCCGGTAATCCGTGTCCTTAGTCTGCGTGTCTTCCTGTGTGCGGCCTTTCTTGTCCTTCATCTTTAGAAGAGGCTTCCTTCCGGGACCACAGCCATGCAGACCAATGTGATGCAGTGTGCGGCGTATGGTCTGAGCACTGACAGGCTGACCCCCCCCCCC